TGTAGTTCCCTGTAAAGGCTATTAAGTTGTCAAAAAAAAGTCTGAAGGATGCTGGGCTGAAACCCTCCAAGGTCTCTTTCAGCTCTAAAAGTTGTAGAATGCTACTATATAAGAAAGAAGATGAACAGATAACATTCCCCACTCAAGTTATAAATTTAGATTTACACATGAAATAGAATAATGCTTACCAAGTATAGGCTCTTAAAGCCATATTTTTTTATGAGATATACACTATTCAGAGATGGCTCATACTTTTTAGAGATTTCCTATATAAAATTTAATAGCTTTATTTCCTTGCTTATTTCAAGCAATATTTTCACTCATAAGAATAGCACATAGGGGAATGAAAAGGTCAGATATTTTTCAATGGATCACGTTATATTTCTATTCTAAGTTATATAATTTCAAAAATGCTATTCTAGGACATAGACATTTTTAAAAAATTAAGTAAATACCAGCCTCCATTAAGATGGTTGTCCACCAAAATGAGTTCTCTTTCATAATAATGAAATATTAGCTGGCAAAAGGCTCTAAACTTGAGTACATTTTTCAACCTCCTTTAAAGGTAAAAGGGTCATGGGATGAGGTTTTACCAAAAGAAAGTGGCCAAGGGAATTTATGTCCTTCTTAGGTGTGGCCAGGCCTCTATTTTCCTTTCCTATATGCTAATACCTGGATCTGTAAGTGTTGCTGGTGATTAGGTTCTTGTCTTGTCGCAAAAAGAATTCAGAGACAAGACATGGAGGTTAAGAAAATAAAGTGAGGATTTATTAAGGGATAGACAGTACACTTTGAAGTGGAGAGTGGGCAGGCTCACCCGAGCCCTGCACTGAGTTTCTTTTGTAAGTTGGTTACATAGGGTGTAAAAATGAATGGGTGGAATATTCATTGGGGAGGGAAGGGTTTGGGGTCTTATTTTCTGATTATCATCCCAACTCCACCTTCCCAAATGGAGGAGGGATTTTTGTCCTTACTTAGTTTGGATCAGAAGTGTCATGGAGTTGGTACATGATGGGTACTTCTAATCTGCAAGGCTAATCTTACTGTAATGAGGGCATGATGAGCAAAAGGTTACATTTAGACACTGCCTTTTCCCCACCTTTCTTTGCAGGCCTCCAGGTCGCTTGTCACCCCAAAATGTGTGACTGCTGATCAGTCCAGAGGATCCTGCTTTTCTTTGTCTGCCCAGGGATCCCTGTTGTTTATATGACGTATGGTTTCCTGCATTTGGCCCCATGCCCCTCCTTTTTTGTTCTATTCCTGACATTTGGCCTGTGTCCTTTCTCTGCTCGTATCTAGCTATCTGCCTGCTTTAACAGAAGTAACTTACTTCTACTACGCACATGAAACAATGACATAGGGCAAGGCGGAGAAACATGATAAAAAGAATCAGAGACCCTGAATGACCACGTGGAGCAGAGCTTCCTGACGTCCTGAAGCACCTGAATCAGGAATTTTATGTAGCACATTTTAAAATCTTCATTGTTTTTAATAGTCACTGAATTGTTGGGTTTCTTGGTTATAAGCAACAAAGTCTTCACCATAACTAAAGTCAGATCCGTTAAGTTTAAAATACAATGAAGGCTGTTAAGTTTAAAACGACAGAATCAAAAATAAAGTGAGGATACCTGGAAAAATGAAAGGCCAAGGAAAACTTTTGTTAATTCTAACTATGAGATATGAGATAAGTTGTTGTTCAAGTTTCTCCAAGAAGTCAATTTTCAGAATAGAATGCTTATCACTCAGACAAAAATTAAGCACCAACTCACTGTTGTCCTTTTTTAAATCTTCTCTGAAGTCTAACAGATAAATGAAAGTTTAGGTTTAAAAAGGACTTCCTTACTAATAAATTATGCAAAGGCTATGCTGACAAGCAGATTCTGAACATGATTTTTTTAATAAAAAGAGATTAAACACAAAGTAGTTTAATTCTCATCATTAAGAGTTACTAATCTTAGTTTAGTTTTAAAACCTGAAATTTGACCACAATAACCTTATTAAGTAGGATGTGGGTATTATCTCAGTGTTTTCCTTGGTTTATATTTCCATCACATAAATATATGTATATATTGTCTATATCAGATAGATAAGTTTTATATCAGGGGAGCAATTTTATAGTAGACAAATTAGAATTTATAACTGATCAATTAACCACTGAGCAGAGTTTTAATAAATTTTTCATTCACTCATGAAGATTTTTTGACAAATTCACAATGAAAATAAGTCCCTTTGATCAAAACAGAAAATGGTATTTTGGCACTGGAATCAAAATCATGCTGCTAATCATTACATATTATATATGGATATTCAATTTGTTAAATACTTTCATATTAGTTTCCCCTACTGCAACATTCATAAATTTGCAAATCTATGTCTAAGACTACTTAATGTTTAAGACTACTTAAATATAAAAATGCTTTCAAGTAGTCTTCAAATATTCAAAATGTTCAAGAAGTTTAAGTAAGGGAAACGATCTGTGATCTGCAAAAGTACTCATTTTATATTGCTTTAATTTACATTCCAATGTTTTATAGGTAAAAAGATAAAAATAGTATATTTCTGTGAGTATCAGCAGTAAAACTGATTAAAAAATGCCAGTCCTCCTCCCTGAATCTGCTTGCTAATTTAACATTTTTTCTTCACTCATGTTTATAAACTTTAAGTCCTCTCTTCATTGCACAAATCTGAAGTTATCAAAACATTACTGTAAAATAAAGTATAATAATCTGTAGCTTTAGTTTAAGATCAAACTAAACAGAGCCTAGAGCAAACTTTTCTAAAATCAGCTTTACCCATTTCGTAAACAGGCACATATTTTGATATAACAAAACATCTTTTATATTACTACAGGATGTTTTATCAGTTACCAGCCAGGAAACTAAACAAAATTAAAATATACATTAGCCTTAACCCATTTTATGGGGCATGTGGGTTTCAGAATTAAGACTTACCAGGATTTAGGTTCACAATAATTCCTCATTTGTGTGTAGGCGCCTCATTATACTTCATAAATTTTTTTTCACCATTCCTACACTCTACATATTATACTACAGAAGGTGTTTAATCTAGGGTAAACTAAATATTTTGCTTAGTTCTTGATTTGCAATTGCCACAACTAAAAATATTTTTAAACTTTTTGTATTACTACCTAATTACATAGGGCTTTTATCACCCCGGTTGGCTTATAAGGAGAGAAAAACGTTAACTTAGTCAAAATAGACATATTTGCTAATACTCATAAAATCACATAGGAGCAAGACACAGGGGCAAGAAAAAGTGTCAGTAAAATACCCATTTACAACTTTCACAATTTGGATTATGAAAAACTGATTGAAAGAGCACTTATTTTGAAGCAGGTATTTTATATATAGCATCTCAATAAAATTTTTGTAACATTTTGAGGTAGATACTATGTTCATTTTTAACGGTCAGAAAACGAGGAAGAGAGATTAAGTAATTTATACTCGAATTTAGTTAAGCAGGAGTAGGGTCGACATGCTTTTTTCTTAATTCTTCCATCCTTACTGCCTCCTAAAAATGTTTCAATTCTTTCACTACTAGAAATTGAAGTAAAGGGAATAGAAATACTTCTCACATATCTGCTTTTTCTCACCAAGTTTCTTCTCATATTTCTTGGTCACAGGGGAAAATTTTAATGTTCACAACTATCAACCACCTTTAAGCAAAATGCACAAAATATCTTCAACATCCAGGGTAAGAAAAAAATCACAAAACTATTTTCCTTGGCAACTTGTTTTGTGATATATGCCATGAAGCTTTTGGAATACGTCACAAATAAATAAAAAAAATCTAACTCATGATTTTTTTTTCCCTAGCTGTAACAAAAATTGTGTTTGTTTTTCTTCTTAAACTGAAGTGTTTTCCACCATTTAAACACTCTCTTACATCATGAGCTTTATCAGGTACAATGATATCCTCTTCATTACTAGACAAAAGTGTTACTCATTAACCAAATACAACCAACTGACTTTAGAGTATTTGTTGTTAAAATTAATCACTTTTTTTGGCATTGTAATCACAACTGAGACTTAAATCACTTTGTTTTGAGGTTTTTGATACACAAATAATTCATAATTTTTAAAAAATTCTTAAATGGTCAATATCCAGCAAAGTAGCTGTGCTCTAATGTCAAGTCTGTAAAAAAAAAAAAAATTGAAATAATGTAGACTATCTAAACTTTTGATTATTTTAAAAGATCATAGTTACATAAAGCAAAAAGAAAATGATAGCTTACAAATAACCAAGTACAGATATTAAAATACATATAACATATACATAAATGTGTATTTCTTAAAGAAACACGTATAAACATTCAAAACACTTCAAATAATAGTCCTGGGATGGCTTTAGGTCATTCTTAAGTTTATTTACCAATTCAAATAATTACTTGTAGGCAGATAGTTAAAAAAAAAATTCCCCAGGTTTGGGGGGGGTGAACAAATCAGTATATACTAGACATATAGGGAGTAGAGCCGGGGTAGGCATGACTTTCTAAATTATAAATACTACCTTTTTAAGGTAAGGTGGTACTTTATAGGATATCCAAGTAACAGTGACTGATAAAAACAAAACAAATACTGAGAATGTTGGCCACATAAGAGAGAACAGCCAGAGGCTTTAGGGGACTGAAGAATGAACAAGCTGAACCAACTCAAAATGTATTATTCATTCCTTAACCAAAACAGAGGAGAGAAACAAAAACTACAGGTCCTCACACCACCAGAAAAGTTCAGGCATTAGGAGGTATTGACTGGCACCCACTCATTGCTATTTGAGAACCCGCCCCTCGGGTGAGAGCCCTTTCTCTACAAAATCCAGCAGGGAAGAGGCAGGTGCTGGGTACCAGTGGAGACTCAAAGCGCCCTAAGCCCTTTTCAGCTTCTGCGGCCAAAGGCCAGGCACCCCCGGAAGTGTCAGGGCGGACGGGAGGTGGGAGGGCACCATGGTCAGGAGTTAGCGCGGGAGAGCGGGTCTGCGCGCTAGGAGGGGGGCGCCCTGAGCGGAGGAGGAGGGGCCCGCGCGAGGCTCCACCCCTGGCTGCGGCCTCGGGCTACAGCCAGGGCCCTGGAGGCTCGGGCTCCGGGGCTAGCGGGCCTGAGTCGGGTCTGCACGGAGACGCCTCCTCCTTGTCCACA